CTGTTGTCTCCGCTCTGTCTGAGTATGGAAGCCGGATGCTGTGACGCGCCTCGCCGGGCAAGGGCATAACAAATTAAGAAGGCCCCACTCTTCTCTGAAACTCAGACTCTCAGAAAATAGAAATATCCCGTCCCACAGCCTAACCGCCCGAAGAGAATCCGTGAGGTAAAGACAGAAGCCTAAGCACAAACACAAGGCAAAGGCTGACTCTAGCGTGATGTTTGGCGGTGGTGGCGGGGGCAGTGATGTGCATACTGGTGGATGTGGTAGACGGGTGTGGAAGTGGAGATCACAGTCCGAGGACGCTCTTCGGGAAGGCCGGGAATGGTAAACAGCTTTACTCATCTTCATGGCTCCCAGATTTCCATTCGATGCGTCCTCTGTAGCCGAGTGGCGAAGCATTTCGCAGCCTTCTTGGTCGGCGAAGGAGCAGATATCGGATTTGGCTCCTCCGCCAAAGACTCCTAGAGAAGCAGGATTTGCATTGGGAACTGATGCAATGGATGTATCAGGAACTAAACAACTGCCGATTTGGTTCTGGATCCCTGTTCGCCAAACGCAATTCATCCTTTTTTGAGCTGCCAACTGTCTAAGGCCCAAGTCCATGTGTTCAGGCTCTTCCGAACGCCAAACAGATCAAGTCTTGTTTGGCTGTGGCCTTGTCGGTTTTCCTTGGGCCTGCATAGGAATGGCCGCGCTGCGAATGGCATAAACACTCCACGGCTTCAACATTTGCCTAGGATTGGGTTCGAATGACAAGACCATTGCACGCTACGGGGTTGCCGTGTGTTCCGAGCTTCGACAAGTCAAACGGGAACTATCCATTTCTACCAAGCCATGACAACACGATGACTTTTCCTGTGTTGGTTTAAAGGGCCTGTCAGGTTAACAGCTTTTCAGATTGTCTTCGCAGGTCTTGTAAGTGCTGTAGGTGGTATATGATTAACACGGCCTGCATGTGAGTCCAATCACGGGGTGGCTGTCCCTAACTGTGTATGTGGTTAATGTGTATATATATATATATATATATATATTCCGTTTTAAAACATACGCGTATTTATTTACAGAGCTGTCCTGTCTGTGTGTGTGTGTGTGTTCAGGCGTGTGCGTGTGCATGCAGGTGCGGGTGCCGGTGCAGGTGTGGGTGCGGGTGCAGGTTTGGGTGTGGGAGAGACAGACAGAGACAGACACAGATCTGCGTGTTTGTGGTCGTGCACGTGTGCCTCTAACCATGGACATAAAATGCAAACGTGTCAATGTGCAAATTTGTGCATGTAGGAAAAAGTCAAGGCATGCATATATATATATATATATACCCATAGCCCATAGATATAAGAGATTCTACATAGTATGTTTATTTTCTTGTTTGTTCATTTACTTATTCGTAATTCAATGACACAGACACGCATGCACACATTAATAAAAACGCATCTGTGCAATTATGTAACTATATTCATATACATGCATATACAACCACATAGAAAAATGATTCTGCTTCAATATGCAGAACATGCAAAGTACATGTACAGATACCTATAAAGATGAATGTCGACGGAAGAACAAGCAAACATGAATATGTAAAGGCACATGTGTGCGTGTGTGCGTGTCTATATGCCTGCAAAGTACAGATATGAAGCTGTTGCAGTTTTATGAGCTCGTCGAGGTATGTCGTGCTGTACGGGTGTGTACATGCAAATGGACATAAGTCGGTGCACATTACGGCATGCGACTATACTCGTACATGCATCCTTCTGTATGGTTAGGACTGGCTCTGGATGTTAGCCGTGCATGAGTACAGCTGAAGACGATGAGTGAGACATGGTTAGACATACAAACCCCTGACAAAGCTACGCAAGCTTTGCATAAGCACGTCGACTGCTGCATGCCCGTGTAAAAAACCACGCGTCAGTTTATGTGGCTTGCAAGTAGTGGCATCATCTGAATGCTAGGCTTTGTGCGACAGCGGACAATGCAGGGTATACATGTGCCTGAAATGCCACAGCCCCAATCTGCAAACCCTAAGCCGCCACTGACGCCACTGCAGCCAAGAGAACCGGCTTCGGAATCGCTCGAACTGGCGACACATCGGCATCCTGACAAATGTTTCTATCGCTCTCAGCACTGTCAGGCACTTTTACCGACAGTGATCAACAGTGAGCATGTTCAATTTCCTACACAGACAAGCCCAAAAATTCAATACCACCCACTACTCCCAGCACGGCAACTTGCCCTGTACGTAGAACTCACATTTCACCCGCTTTCGGTGTTGGTCGAGGGTGGGTAGTTCCTGTTCTTTGGGGTCGACTTTCCGTTCGCTGACAGGCTGCACTGACAGCGAGATCTGGGAATTTGGGTTTGAGGTTTCTAGCCAGACGACCGTTTGGAGCTTCGGGATGGGAGTTTGGTCAAAACAGCCACACTCAGTCAGCCTCCGACGCGGGAGTTGCAGAACACACAAAGGTCATTGAACATACGAAGCTAGAGGTACCCCGAACTGTCAGAACCTGCCCACTCTGAAGACCCTGCTGGGCATCTGAAGCCACTTTGAACCACAACTGAAAAAACGCCACGGAGTGGTAGCTGTAGTAGCCGTAGTAGCCGTAGTAGTAGTAGTAGTAGTAGTAGTAGTAGTTGTTGTTGTTGTTGTCGTCGTCGTCCTGAACAGCCGCAGCAGCAGCAGCAGCAGCAGCAGCAGTAGTAGTAGTAGTAGGGGTAGTTCTAGTTGTGGTGGTAGTAATAGTTTATGCCACCCACTTCGCACGTCGTTGACAGCACTGCAGGGTCTTGACTACTGACGAGGTGCCAGACAGACAGGCTTGTGCAAAGGAACAACCCCAACAAACTAGTAGTAGTAGTAGTAGTAGTAGTAGTAGTAGTGGCAGTAGTAGTAGTAGTAGTAGTAGTAGTAGTAGTTGCGTGAGGGTTTGGTATCGATGATACGCTATATGCTCACCTCACCGAGCGTGTTGTTGTAGTTGATGGGTATTGCCAATGT